CTGAACCCAAGCTTTTCCCAGTCCCAGAGCTTTCATAAAGCACTGGTAACAGGCAGATTTGCTTTTGATATGGGAACACGGACACCACTGACTCCGAATGGGGCTTCCACATGTCTACCATAAAAAAAATCTGCTTCCATACGAGAAGACTATAAAGGAAGGAAAGCACCTCACCTGCAGCTGAAATGGCCTGTTCTTAAATGAAGGAAAAACCCATACAAGCATTTCATGCATGCTAGCAGCTTGTGCTGGCTGTTCCTAAGGGAGTCTTGCCTGTATGAAATTGTTTCCTACCCCATCCCTCATGCATCATCTCCTCTTTTTTGAGAGCTGGAAACTGGCCTTCTTTATTTAGCAGGCTCGACAAGCCACCACTCTTCTCACTGTTCCTCTTTGCAGGCTGCAGAAGATGCTGTGGGCTCCATTAATTGTGGCTGCTGGTTTTAATTTAGAGTTCATAAGCAGGCTAACCATTAACTGACTCAAAATGGCTTTCCTATTTGGAAAGACTCAAAGGACTGGTGGCAGGATGTGGGAAGCTAAAGGAAGGCGAAAGTTACAGGCCTGACCTCCTTATTGGGGAAAAGGACAAATTTACACTTTGCAAATATTCACATTAAAAATATTTTATAAAAGAGACACTGCTCCAGCTGAATACAGACATTTCTGTTGTGCAATTAGTCCATTTTCCAATTCCTTGTAAGAGGCTATCCTGGGACCTGACACAATCCAGTTGATGAACTACTCTGATGTTATTCAAGCAAAATTTCAGAGGGGTTTATATAAGTTCCAGTCTTGATATCCAGAAACAGGCCTGGATATCAAGACCCTAAACCTCCGTCTACAAGACAAATCCTCACACTGTTGACTGCAAGTCTGACTGACCACCTCACAGAGTCTTAAGCACACATTTACCTTAGCTCTGCTAAAGTCTGGAATACCTTGTTTTCTCTTTCTCATACAGCCACCAAGGGGTTGATTACAATTTTAGTGATTGCTAGTAAGTCCCTCTGAGACTTTTTCATGTAAAAGTTTCCTGCTAGCTTTGCCTCTCTTCAAAATTTCTTTTTATTCTCCACACTGTCAGCAATTTCTGTGTTTCCTCTTCTGGTTCCAGCGAATGCACCAAAGAATCATCAGAAATATCAACATTCACGTGC